ATAATTAGTATGTGATTATACAATAATATAAAGTCATATTAAACTTGCATTTAACTAATTTCTGAGCACATATATTCTATAACTGTGATACCTTTATTATGAGATAATACTTTGTAGCAGGGTCTAGTCCAATATAAATTTGGTTTAGGTTTATGGGCATAAGCCTTAGTCCCCTTCCTCCTTGACTTGCATATTTTGATTCAACCCATGACTACATCTTTAGCAAAATTCATAGTTTGCAACTATAAGCAAACTGGCAAACTTATACTTGCCTTTCAAATGAGATTGAGTTATACTTATTATTTGAAGAGGAGTTAGCTGATTTAGTAATAATGGGATAAAAAAAAGTAAATGGCATGAAATCAAATAGTCATGGGAATAGGATCAAAAAAAAGGTAATAGGAGCATATTGCTTGTTAACAGAGTTCTAAATTATTTTATTTGTGATACATATTAATGGAGACCAAGTTAAATTTATGCTTAGGTATTGAATAAGATGGACCTGGGAGCATATTGAGAAGCCTCGTTGCAAATACTGTGTGTTGGGAAAGAGGGAGGAAAGGAAGTTTCTGCTTAGAAGAAATGCCTTATTAAAAAACTACCCCTATTAAGGCTTACTCCAGCAGTAGTAAGAAACAAAGACACTGTGCTGTCAAAACATCATGACAATGACAGCTGTGTAGGGCCATCTCAGCCAAATTGCCTCTTGCCATTGCATATATAACATCACCAGTGTCTATTCAGTATAAAATAAAGCTGTTTCAATGTATGGATGGATGCTATCAGGTGAGCAAAGACTTCCTTACATATTGGTGTTCAATCACTTGTATACCAGTGGAGGACCTGGTCCATCTGTAACCCTTGGTTCTACCTTTAATTCTGTTCTTTGCAGATCCACTTAACCACATTTTAAACTACTCCATTATGCTTTTTCAAATATGGTATCTCTACCGATTCAGTTCTATACCAAGGTAAGAACATTAAGTCAGAGTCCTTTGGTGACATTAAGGCACCAGACTAGAAATCAGGAGACCATGAGTTCTAGTCCCACCTTAGGCACAAAGGCAGCTGGGTGACCTTGGGACAGTCCTTCTCTCTCAGTCCTAGGAAGGAGGCAATGGCAAACCACTTCTGAAATCTTGCCAAGAAAACTGCAGGGACCTGTACAGGCAAGTGCCAGGAGCCAAGACTGGCTCAATGGGACCAAAAGAGAGAGAGAGAGAGAAAGAGAGAGAGAGAGAGAGAGAAAGAGAGAGAGAGAGAGAGAGAGAGAGGCTCTGTCTTTAAAGAATTTGCTACCATGGTATAGGAACAGGAAGTAAATTAGCTGGTGCATTTGAACTCTGAAAGGGTTTTTTTGTACTATAATCTATTGCTGTACAAGCATGGTTGCTGGGATGCTACATACTACATTCAATGCTAAGTAGTGTTTATTAGTAGAATGCATGTGCAAGCTTTTATCCTCTAAGAAATAAATCTGTCAGGATTAGAGCGCCATGGCTGTAAAGGCAATCACTCTCCTCATGACCATCTCTCCATCTATTGTATCTTTTGGAAATTCACCAGCAGCATGCGCCAAAGGTTGATGTGGTGGTTTTTGTGCATTTAGAGACTTGGTTTCCATGGTTGCAAGCCTCACACGCTTGAAAGCAGCAATTCAGAAGAGGGGATGAGCAAGGAGGGAGTGCAAGAGAAAGCAGTCATTAAAATGTGTCAATTAGTATGCAGCGCTCTCCTCGCTGTCTTTCTCGTGTGCTCCACAAAAGCAGGCACTGTTTATTGTCACCGTGGCCATAAAGTGAACATGAATGAAATAGTAAGCAAGAGGGTTCTTATATTATAAACAGGTAGCCATTTTAGCAACATGAGTGTGTCCTACAACAGGGGTGAAGGATGCATTTTTTAAAAAGGGTAGGAGTCCCATCGAGTAGCATGACAGCGATGGAAGGAAGGAGCAATGGCAATGAATGCAGCTGTATGATCCCGTCTATGTTTGCCATCTCCAACCAGAGCTGCCAGAATTGGCCTCTGCTTTTCTGTGTGTGATGGGCCTGGGGAAATGAACAGCCCAGTCCCTGCTGCTCCTTTATGGTTTTCTTGACAACTGAGGGACTTAGATGACTTTGCTATGCCAGCATCTCCCCCACATTTCTTTCTACCTTCAGTACCGTTAGAAGCCCTTGATGGGATGGGTCTACACCAGTGTTGTCCAAACTTGGCCACTTTAAGATGAGTGGACTTCAACTCCCAGAATTCCCCAGCCAGCCATGTTCT